CAGAGCCCTGGTGTGACCCTGTAGGACCTGGCCCGGCCCGGGACAGAGCCCTGGTGTGACCCTGTAGGACCTGGCCCGGCTCGGGACAGAGCCCCAGCACGATCCTGCTCCCAACGCTGTGTCGGAAGGGTTGCATACCCCCAGCATCCCCATAGGCCAAAGGAGTTGTTTTTGAGAGGAACAGTGGATTTGTCTTTACAAACAAGCTGTGGGTTTGCTGGTAGATAAAACCAGCACTGGGAGAGAAATAATGGGAAGGATTTCACTGATGGATGAGTGGGAAAAATATTTGCCTTTACAAATAAACTTTACAAATAAGTGAAAATAGACATTGAGAGATGAAAGAAACAATGGGGAAGAAAAACCCCTAAATTCTGTAAGAATTAAAAGGGAGGGTTATACATTAGAGGGAAATCTTTGGGATCAGGTATTCTGGGAAGTCTGAACCTCTCAAGTGCCTCAGAAATGGGGAAAGAGAGAAGGGAAATGTGGCTGGAAATTGGGATAAAAAGGAGGCTGTGTCCTCCAAAACTTGGAGAGATCCCAGGGGAATGCCCCATGGCCTCTCCCTTTATTGGAATAAAGCCAGAAAAGACTCCTCTGTCTCTTTTTTGGACATAAACCTCTGGTGTTTGTGGATTAATTTTCCTGACATTTTGAAACCTCATCACGGGAAATCTGGCCTTCTCTAACTTGCCTGATGTAACTTACCAGCTAATGCATCGGTTTCAGGCTACCAACTCAGTAGTTGCTCACTATTATTTCCAACAATATTCTCAAGAAATCATTGATTCAATACTGACAATTTGAGTGCAACTAAAACTTCCTATCAGGCAATTCAGTACCATTGGTCTCCTTGTTAATTTGCTAAGTAAGAACACAGAAAAAGGTCACAAGTGTCCAACATGCAATTCAGTAACACAAAGCAACAAAGCTAAACATACTGATGTAATCTGATATGCTTACACTGGGACACTGTATCACAACATGCAGGACACAGCAGGAGAAATGTTTTTCCAATTCATTTTTATTTTGGTTTCCATTGTTTACAGCACTGTTACAGGACTAACTCATGCAAATTTATCACCTTAAATACAGCAGAGAAAACTCACTGGTAAGAGTATTTCGAAGAGCTCCATCAACATAATACAACAGGAAAAGTAAGTAGCAGCAATAAGATAAAAGTGCATTTAGCTGACCTTCTTTAAATGGGAATCTGGGGAAGACTGTTTCTAGAATTACCTGTTTTAAGGAATAGTTTAGCATTCTTTATGAAAATCAGAAGAGAACAAACTCATGATAGTGTTCATTCCTCCACCCCTCTCAGTTAAAGAAGTACAGCTGTAATTTGTTTCCGAGGAATCCAGCTTATAGGCCTGTCTGTTAAAGGTTTGATTCTCGGTCACTTGGGCTTCCAGGACAAGGTTACACTCACACACGTTAGCAGTTTTGCTTCTGACAAAGTTCAAGTGGTTCCTTCCCCCATTCTGTAGGTCAGGCTTCAGCTCTGCACTGAGAATGCCAACAGCACCCAGGCCTGAGCAGCATCACACACACAGCAGCAAAACACTGGGTTCTAGGAAGCCAGCAGCCTCTTTTCCCTTCACAGATAAGACACTGGCTTAAAGATCAGCTCATTTATCAGATTTCCCCTGAAGGCCTGAAGAGATAACACTACCTCGTCAAAATAAAGTAGTCATGAGCTGCTGAGCAGTAGAACATCATCCTCTGCCTTGACCTGGAGTTGACAATATCCTTGTGTATTGAGGACTCAATAGAACAGAACATGGCTGTGTATGTGACAGCTTGAGAGACCAAAGATGCAAATTTATTCAACCAAGACCTGCAGCAGAGTGAGACTAGATGATTCCACTTACTCCATTATACTTCACCACAAGCTCAGAGTACCCACTGCCAAAAGCAAGGAGCTGAATTTCTTTCTTGCTCGTTCCCAGATTTTATCAAATCTATGTTCCCATCCTGGTGGATACCTGAGGAACTCAGTCAAGGTAAAAAAACCTTCTGATAGAAATTCTGAGCTTTTCAGTTTGAGTTGGAGTCAAAGCTTTCTACTGAAAAGCAAAGGTTTGTTTCCTTTCTGCATTCTAGGGATGTCTCACTGCCAGCCCCTACACAATCAAGATACCTCAAGTCTTTCTATAAATCTCAGTACAGCCTTACCTAAGAAGTACTTACTGATATTTTCACTCCCTCAAGCATCAGGCAGCTTCTTTCTGGAAGTTCCATGATATGAAAAACATGTGACTTATCACATGCACATATATTCATACCTGAGCATTAATGAGAAATCCTAATGCCATTTTCAAGGGAAAAAGTCTCTTTGTCAGTATGAAGAACATCCCACTGCTCAGTGGTTCAGAATTCAGCTGGGACCTGCTCAAGGACAGCCCATATTCTGTGTGTGTGATGCTGAAGAGATATAGGTTGTCACTAACCTCAGGACTACAGGATCTGATTCTGGATTCCTCAGATATTTTGTAGGTAACAGAAAGATTATAACCAACACATGGCAAAATACTGACCTACAAGGAGAGAAAGAAGCTTGCAGTAGAGGAACTTAATCCTACTCAAGCTCCTAAAATCAGCCAGAATTTCTTCTCTGCCAATTCCAACTGGAAGAGACTCAAGTCCTTACAATTCCCAATTATTATATTCCCAATGCATCAGAGCAAAACTCAACAATTAATTTAATGTATTTGCAAATAAAGAATTTGTTTAAAAAACTAATTTGCTTTAAGCCATTCTTGCCCTGGCATGAACTACAAGAGCCACAACTCCCCCCACCCCAGAGGAGCTGTACTTGCCAGCATGTTCTGATACTTTTAACAGAAGATAAAAATACCAAATCCTATTGCTGCCCAGACTGTACATCCTGTGGGAACTCTACATGAAGCAACATCTCTTACAGCGTGTCATCCACATGCTGTTCTTGTGGCCAAACAGTGGTAATGGAATTCCACAGGCCTGCTTCCAGAAAGACAGCTGTGCTTTTCCAAAAAAAACCCACATTCCTCAACTGAGCTCATCATGCAGTGCTTTACATTGTGTCAACTGGCTTCTCTTTCCTAGTTTTCTTCTTCAACAAGCTGCCAAATTATCAGCACCATCTCCTTCACAGGAACTAGTTCTGTCTTTGCAAACTATTCATCCATGATGGGAAGTGGGCCAGACTGTGTTATTAGAGCTCTTAAGAGGAAGAAACTAACTCCAAATTCACTAAGCTTACCAAACCAAATCTTAATCCCTCCTGCTCCAGAGAACTGGGTTTTTTTGTTCACAGGTTTAAGCATCCTGAGAGCAATAAACCTTTCTATGCAGTGACACTGTGATTTTGTTATGTTCTAGAATAACGGAATGTTAACCTCAGACAAGCCTGTGTGGGCTAGAAATGCTTTGTGAAACCACCACCATGTCTGTGTGCGTGGGATCTGTGTTTAGTCAAACAGCTGCTTGTCACACATATGTCAACCTGGGGCTGCAAAAGTTCTGTCTTTATGGAGTCATTTGTTTTACTTCATAAAGATGGATCAGAATAACTTTTAACCTGATAAACATTTGCTTGATTGCTTTAAATTTGTTTAAAGCAAAATGAAGTACAATAAAAGCCCCCTGTAAATGTATAAAGCACACACTCCTCCTGAAGTAGCCTGGTCTCACAAGGAAAAAGAAGAGTTATTAACAGGTAGTGTTTGGAGGTGGGACACAGAACAGGGAAGCAGAATCCTACTGTTCACACAGCAACTGGAAACACAGCAATTTGCTCTTGCTCATTCCCTTTAGGGAATTCCATCACCCACCATGTTCTCTGCAGTAATTAAGAGAGCACTGAAGGGAAACTGTTGTTTTTCTCTTTTTCTCACACTATCTGCTCTGCTGCAGGTACTGGTGTGTGAACATGTTGAGCTCGCTGTCAAGCCAGCCTGCTTTGTTCCTGCAAGGACAGAAAGTTTTGTTTGGTGAATGAAACAGTGAAGGAATTCTTTCTGATTTCTCAAGCCAGTCAGAAAGAACTGCAACAAGAATAAATACACAGCAAGGCATGGAGTGCCAGAGGTTCATCCAAAAGGCTGCTGCCATTCCTTTGCAGGTCAAGAATGCTTGCCTGCTGTCAGTCCCTAAGCTTTGAGAGATTTTGGACACAACTTCACATTGGTCTTACTGTGTAGGTAAGGAATGTCTGAAAAAGTCTTCCCAACATCCTCTGCAGGGTAAAGAAAGCAGCAGAAAACTGAGTACAAAGGTGAAGGCAAGACTTTTTGCATAATTTTATAAGGGCCTGACAGAGCTTGTAGGAGTGGAAGGCTGTATGGTTTCATAAATGGGAAGGAACTG